AAAAAAAAAAAAAAAAATAGCCAGGCGTGTTTGCTTACACCTGTAGTCCTAGCTATTCAAAAGGCTGAGGCCGAAGGCTCACTTGAGCCCAGGAGTTGGAGGCTGCACTGAGCTGTATGCCACTCCACTCCAGCCTAGGCAACAGAGACAGAGGGAGACCCTAACTCTAAATATATATATATATATATATATATATGTAAAATAGGCTATAGATTGGCTATACATTGCTCTTGGTATCACAAACCCCAGGAACATGAAGATAAAGGGTGAAGCAGCTAGTCTGGTGCTGTCTTTAAACAATTACCTCTAACATTTTTAGGTATTCCTAAAAAATAAATATATGTATATGAAAAACAATTGTCCCAGGGATGGATGTGGGAGGCTTGAATGAAGTCCAATGCTCACAGCTCTCTGGGCCTGATGAATTTTACACACCTCACACCTCAGACAGTTCAGAGATATTACACTGTGCCTGGCCCAACTGCTCAATGCTTCTATTTTTCTTTCTTTCTTTCTTTCTTTGTTTTTAGAGACAGAGTCTTACTTTATCATCCTCAGTAGAGTGCTGTGACATCACAGCTCATAGCAACCTCCAACTCCTGGGCTTAGGCGATTCTCTTGCCTCAGCCTCCCAAGTAGCCAGGACTACAGGTGTCTGCCACAACACCCCGTTATTTTTTGTTCGTTGTTTTAGCTGGCCAAAGCCAGGTTCAAACCCACCAGCCTGGGTGTACATGACTGGCACCGTAATCACTGTACTACCGATGCTGAAGAAAACAGTTCTTGAGTAGAGAAGTGATGGAGAGTGGACAAACTCCAGAACAGACCCAGGCATCCAGAGTAACTCCAGAATGAGTATGGGTGGCATCTAAAAAAGATGCCTATTTGGATGGAGTATAGTTGTCCCAGGGTACCGTAATCCCCTCCAACCAATCTGACTCAACTTTTTTTTTTTTTTGACACAGAGCCTCAAGCTGTAGCCTCTGGTAGAGTGCCGTGGGGTCACACATCACAGCAACCTCAAATTCCACAGCCTAAGCAATTTTCTTGCCTCAGCCTCCCAAGTAGCTGGGACTACAGGGGCCCGCCACAACGCCTGGCTATTTTTTGGTTGTAGTTGTCAGTGTTTGGCAGGCCCGGGTCAGATTCAAACCTGCCGGCTCTGTTGTATGTGGCTGGCGCCATAGCCGCTGAGCTACAGGCACCACCTTTTTTTTTTTTTTCCTTTGAGACAGAGTCTCACTATGTTGCCCTCAGTAGAGTGTGCAGTGGTATCACAGCTCACAGAAATCTCAAACTTCTGGGCGTAAGTGATTCTCTTGCCTCAGCCTCCCAGTAGCTAGGACTACAGGCACCCGCCACAACGCCCGGCTATTTTTTGTTGCGCTTGTCATTGTTGTCCAGCTAGCCCCAGACCAGGTTCAAACACCTCAGCTTCAGTGCATGTGGCCAGCACCATAACCACTGTGCTACTGGGGCAGAGCCTTGACTCAACTTTTATGTAACAAAGTTGCAAGTTGTTTTTCAATTGCTGTTTGAAAGTCAGGTTGCCTAAGCATGCTCAGAGGAACCAAGCATGCAACCATAGGCAGAACCTAAGTGCTCCAACAGAAAAGCAGGGCCTGAATTAAGAAGTGGACACCACCGAGGAACCTGGATCCAATCAGACTGCGCCCTGGTGTCACCCCAGGTGACAGATTCAGTCACACTATGCTTCCTGACATCATCTCATTACAAGATCCTATCAGATCACACTTCATTACCATCTGACTATAAAGCCACCCCAACTTCCTTGTTTGGAGTGGGAACTCTATCCCTGGTGTAGTCCTTATTTGTATCAAGTAATTAAAAAAAAAAAAAACTTGCTATAGCCAACTTGGCTGAGTCTATGGACTCAATCCCCACCATGCAAACAAATCCCTCTGTTTGGGAAATAACAGTATCCATGTTTGGGAAATAATAGTATCCACAGGTGATTGGTTCCAGAACCCTTCATGGATACCAAAATCTCCAGATGTTCAAGCACTTTATACAGAAGGTATTAAGTATTTGCACATGTGGAGGAAAAATAAAACCCTAAGCCCCATCTTCCTGGCTCGGCGCCTGTGGCTCAAGTGGCTAAGGCACCAGCCACATACACCTAAGGTGGCAGGTTCGAATCTAGCCCGGACCCACCAAAACAACAACGACAACTGCAACCAAAAAATAGCCGGGAGTTGTGGCAGGCGCCTGTGGTCCCAGCTACTTGGGAGGCTGGTGCAGGAGACTCACTTGAGCCCAGGAGTTGGAGGTTGCTGTGAGCTGTGAAGCCACAGCACTCTACTCAGGGGGATAGCTTGAGGCTCTGTCTCAAAAAAAAAAAAAAGCCCCATCTTCCCAAATTCAATGGACCCCTCTTGGCCAAGGAAATCTCCAAGAAACTTTTTTTTTGGGGGGGGGAGGCTGGGGCTGGGTTTGAATCCGCCACCTCCGGCATATGGGGCTGGTGCCCTACTCGTTTGAGCCACAGGTGCTGCCCTTTTTTTTTTTTTTTTTTTTTTTTGACAGTCTTACTCTGTCACCCTGGGTAGAGTGTTGTGGTATCATAGTCCAAGCAACCTCAAACTTCTGGACTTGACCTATCCTGTTGCCTCAACCTCCTGAGTAGCTGGGACTACAGACATGTGCCACTATGCCTGGCTAGATTTTCTGTTTTTAGTAGAGACAAGGTCTCTCTCTTGCTCAGGCTGGTCTCAAACTCCTGAACTCAAGCCATCCTCCTGCTTCAGCCACCATAGTGCCAGGATTGATTACAGGTGTGAACTACCATGCCCAGACCTGCAAGAAACTTTTAAAAACTAAGTTTCCTGCTCATGGCAAGACAGGAGGTTGGTCATGCCTCAATATACCTCCTTCCTTACATAACTAGACTTTTTTTTTGCTGAAAGTTAAACAGAAACCAGCCTTAGAAAACAAAGAACAGGAGACTCTTTTAGTTAAACCAACAGTCTGACAGTATGACCAAACTCCCTCCCTTTTCACGATTTGGACATGGACAGCTGACCAGTTTTCAAAACATTCCTTCCTGATAAACTGACCATGGAGAGGTTCTGATTGGTTTATGGAGGCTGTGCTCAAAGTACTTTTGTGTCCTATGTTTCACCTTTTGACATATAAAGCCTAATTTTACTGCATTTCAATGTTAAGTCTTCTCTCCAAAGTAAACATGGACATACGTAACGTACGTATGCTTATCGTATGTGATACTCCTTTCATGAATATTCATAATTCTTATAACCTGTTACATATGTATACATAGCCAACCCAGTTAGCATAAAACTCCTGTCCCATCTTTGGCCTGCTTTCATTCTCAGCCAAAATCTCCACTTCCCAGCCTGCAGGTTGCAATCCATTATGAGAAATAAAATCTCAGCCAGGCGCCATGGCTCACACCTATAATCCTAGCACTTTGGGAGACTAAGGGGGAAGGATTTCTTGAGGTCAGGGGTTCCAGACCAGGAGTTCAAGAACAGCCTGGGCAACAAATCAAAACCCATATCTATAAAAAGTTTAAAAATTAGCCAAGCTTGGTAGTGCATGTCTGTATTCCCAGCTACTCAGGAGGCTGAGGCAGGAAGATCATTTGAGCATAAGAGTTTGAAGTTACAGTGGGCTACAATGATGCCACCCACTCTAGCCCAGGCAATAGAGCAAGACCTGTCTCAAAAAAAAAAAAAAATCCACTGTAACTGTTGCTAATCAGAGTGTATATTCAGGGCAACTTGAATCTATCTATGGGTTACAATCCTCAAGCATGACCCAAATAAACTCTCTTTTGCCTCAGCTTCTTCCTTTTAGGTTAGATCAACACAATTAAAATTTATGCTAACACTACCTTCTGAAGTATAGAATGTGATGTTTAGAAACAGGGGCTTGGGAA